ATAGTTTGTGTTTTAGTGACAATATTCCAGCATTAGGCTAACCTCACCTTCAGTCTTGCTGTCCCACCTGAGTACTATTAGCTCTCTGCTAGGGACATAACCCTCAGCTGCTGATGCCCATGTGCCCTCTTTTTCCAACTTTTAAAAGGGCATCCATCAGAAGTCCTGGTAGTAAGAAGAAGGGTTAAGAGTTTGTGGCAGTGCCATGGGGTGCTCTTGTTAAGATTCATAAGCTGCTTTTTTGTTTTCATTGATAACTGTTGGTATCTAATATTTTCCCATGGTGGTATGCTCTAAAACAGCAAGAGAAAGCAAATGTGTAACTGAATACAAATATTATTAGATAGCATAATAACAACAATAATTTTGTAACAGTTGGAAGGATAAGAAAAGTGCTGTGCCAGAGATGAACTGTAAATTAGACTTTTAAAATGTCCTCATGTTTAATAATCTAAAATGCTTTAAAATTACAGAGGTAAAGCTATCATCAATATATATTTTATTTCCACAGTGTCCCTTTGTTCTTGTTATTGTTGGTTGGTCACCTTGGAACAGAGAGTGGGGGGAAAAAACACTTTTGAAGCTTGGAATATGTTCTGGTTTTGATTTACAACAGAGGTTTGATGCCTCCTTGATGTGACCCCTACTGCCATAAACAGATAGACAAACATAAAAGTAGATAAACAAACATCTGTTTTTTATGACACTGACAGCTCACCCCAAAGTGTTGTTTCCAATACTTCAAGCACACATTCATGTCCCCAAGGAGGCCGAGTGTAGCTTTCTTGTACAGCCAGTTAAGCATTTTTTACTTTGTGAAATACTGTGAAAGGGTTTTCTGTGTAAAACATGCCTCTGGAGCCCTCTTTCTCTCCTAGATGTATACATGGTTCTTTGTCTGGAGCTCAGGTGCAGAGGAGAAACATGAGGGTGATGCCTAGCTGTCTTTTGTCACATCAGGAGCTAGGTGTTTCTGACTGCAGTTTCCTGGCCTAGATAAAAGCTTGGGAAAGCCTCTTCTCACTTTCCTCCAGAGAAGGACCTAAAAAGAGATTTTAAAATTCACTGCACATAGTGTGCTGCTGGCTATTGGCAGGCACCCTGGGAGCTTCAAACAAATGAAGCTTGCACTGCTGGTTTAGGCTGCAATGACCATGACTGCAGGGGAATAGAGAGTGCAATAGTACATTGTGTAATGTGGTTTCTGGGCAGCGGGATGGAGAACAGGATGGAAATCTTATTAAACATCCCCAGACAAGCCAGGGTAATCAAGATTGGTGCTGGACTGGATACCAGGAGCTGCAGAATTGCTCACAATGCAGTATTGGCTGTGAGTAGCCAAGGTTAATAAGGAACATGACTTTAGTTCTGTACATAACTTGCAGCAATTTGTTCAGAGGAGGAAAATGAGAGGCGCGTTGTAAAGATTTTGTTGCCCAAACATGCATCATGTCAGGAGGTGGTGGAGAGAGGCCATCCTATGAGTTATATTTCCATCCAATAGATCTTTCCAAAGCCTCCTGCTTCACTAAAAGCATGCACATGTAACAAACAATTCAGCGCTGTCTGTGCAAACACGATGTACATCACAGCCAAGACCTTCAGCCCTGAAAGCACACACCTCTGTATACCTGAGCTAAAGAAACAGCTGGTTGGACTTAGCATGCTATTGCAACCAATAAACGAAACAACCACCCATCTTAAGGGCTTGTAGTTCTTTCTGGGTGGAGGGTGGAAGTCCTGACTTGGTAGCAGCTGTTGAGAACAGCATTTCTAAAGTAGCAGCCCCCTCTCAACACTGTGCCTGTTCCTTTTTCATCCTCCTTTGTATAGCCAAGAGGAGTTGCAGGGGAGAGAGGGCCTGGATTTCCCATTTGATTCTCTCCTACATTTTCTGTCTATAATTCCTAGTGAGGTAATTGAGTGGAAGAGTTGGTGTACTTGTCCTTTCTTCCTCCCCTGCTTTCTTGTCAGCTGTCAGAATGAGCATAAATACATCCAAGGACCAGATTCTTGTCAAGAGTCAGCCTGGAGAGGCCAGTAAGCCAGCTGTGCCCATTTTTCCTGACACTGAAATAGTACAAACAACAGAAGGCACCATGGTGGCCCTTGCATTGGAAGGGTCATCCATGATTTCTAGGCATGGCCCTAAGTTTCCCCCTCTGCCTCCAAAAAAGGGCGGAGAAGGAAATAGGTCGACACTCTTCAGGTTCACCACTTATTTTTTACCTTCTTGGGTTGGCTTGAAAATAGGCTGGGGAGGATGGGCTCTGGAGCCACATTTTAGGTCTGTGAGTGCAGGAGGAAAAGCTGAAGGAAATACCGACCTTCCCAACAGATTCTCACTCCTCCTCCTTGTGCTCAGGAGGGCCATTTCCCCAAAGACAGCCAGCAAATGTCAGCTAGGAGAGATTCCCCAGGGAATCTGAGGAAAAAAAGGAAACCAGGAACGCTGCCTGGAATTAGGGGGACTGAGAGGGGTCTGTGCCAAAAGCACCAATATGGTCAACAGTCATCTCTGCACCTACTTAGTAGCTGCCTTTAAGCACTAGCCCCATCCTTTTTTTGACCCCAAAGAAAAGCCATGGTAACACTTCCATTTTCTAGGTTCTTTGTTATTATTTTCAAGAGCAGGACAGTCGTTCAAGTGCTTAAATTTGAGTACTGAAAACTGGTGGTTGTAGAACAGCAGCACCTGTCATTTGTCCTTCACATGAGTTAGAAACCTGGTAATTATAAAAGGGATGGGGCTGAGTGAAGCTTGTTGCTGGTCTAAGAGATGAGAAGTTTGAGTTTTGGCTCTGTTTCCTTCACTGGGTGTGGGCAAGAGATTTGTCATAGGGTCATGGCAAACCCAGCCAAAATAGAGAGGAGGCTGCTGGGCTCACATGGGTGGGGAAAGAGATAAAAAGATAAAAGAGAAGGAACATCACAGTATGGTGCCCCCCTGCCCATACGCATGCTCTCATGCCCGAGAGAGACAGGAGTTCTCCATGGATCAAGGAGCATGGAGGAGGAGAATCCAGTTTAGTCGCCACACTCCTCAGTTCAGCATCAGGGTTCACAGTCATTTTGCCAAGCAACTGTAGTGGCAGCCCTTGAAGAAGGGACTGAAGCTTCACCTCCTTAGCAGAAAGGGTCTTCCCTCCTCTGTGTTGTCCGCTGAAGAAGAGAGAAACCAAGGTGTGCGAAAGGTTGTGAGAAAGAAATAGTACAAGAGAGAGGGGAATGTTATTTGAGGGCATACGGGGCACAGTCTAGACCCGGGTATGTCTACAGGTTCGCGAGGTGCCTGAGGCTGAGGGAGTCGCGGAGGTGGACTCCTCATCCGTTGTGTCCCCCTGCTCCTCCTTGTGGAGGCCGAGGCTGATGTGGCTCTGCAGAGCTGCGGGGGTCAGCCACTCCTTGGGCAGGCAGCTCTGGAGGAAGGGGATGCATGAGCTGAAGTAGGCCAGGCGGTTCACCCAGCGGGGGATCTCTTTCCCACATAGTATCTGTGGAGCAAACCGAAAAGGAGCATGGTTAATAGTACCAAAACACGTGCGTGGTGACAATGTCATCCCCATCTGCACCACCACCTCGGCAGGGTGAATTCCCTGTTGCTTAGAAGAGAGCTCTTTCAAATGTAGGGAGCATCTTCTGCGGTCAGAAACAGCTATAAGTGCAAATGGCTCGACACGCACAGAGAGCCCTGCCAGCCACAGCCCTTGTCAGCATCGCAGGAGAGACCTGGGAAAACAGTGCATGGCCCTCAATGGCTTTGGCTGCTCTGCTCTCCAGTCAGTCCATGGGTAAAAGGACAGGCCTGCTGGTGCTTCTCAACCATGACAATGACACTCATTTTCCAAGTAGCTCAAAAAATTTGGAAAAATATTTAGGCTGTTGCTGGCTAGCCCTTGAGGAGCCCAGAAGCTGAGCCTGACTGGGTGGATGGAGATGCCTGAGCAGCTGTTCTTGCTGCTCACTTTTCTTCCTCAGGTTGACACACTGGATCCGTCAAGTTACAGTATCTCGAGTCCTTTTCCCATCCTAGCACATCACCCTTTAATTTCTCCTCCTATGGTATTTGCTAAATGTGGGAAAGAAAGCAACAAACAGAAAAGCAGTAGCTTCTCACTAGGCCTGGGTTTCCTCATAGATGCTTCAGGCTTGTGTTACGCTCTGCTAGCACAGATCCTGTTTTCCAAGGTCAATATCATATTCAGCACAATGAAACAACTTGCTGCATAGAGCAGACCCTTTCTTCTGTAGCATTTGACCACACGTACATAGAGGTGCCAGATTTTAGTGGCTGTATCTGGCTTAGGCCACATAAGGAAAGTTTCCCTTTACATTTCACCATTTCCCTTACCAGACACAGAAGAGACACATGGAAATGATTAACCGGGGTGTCTCAAGAGCCTGTCTTTAGTAAATATAATGCCTGTGTGGCCCTACACCAGTATACTAGAGCCTGAAGTCTGTGGCAGGGACAGTAGCCATAATACGTGAACGAATATAAGCGGCCCTGAGGTCTGGGGCATTTACTTTAGCCATAATACGTGAATTCTCCTTCCCTCCCAGCGCTGTCTGCCATGGAGCAGGACAGGCAGGGAGGAAACTCCACCCTGCAGACTTTGTCCCACGATTTACATGGATTACTGGTTCCAGGGTTGTCCATCCTACACCTTCCGCCAGTAGTAAACTCCTTTGCTCTTCCTCCTACCCTCTTCCTGTCTAAAACTATACTTAATTTAATACTAATTACTGCAAAAACTAAGAGGGTGTTTGTCTGTAATCCACTAGGGAGATTATTTGGCAAGATGTCTCTTATTGACAATGGAAATGCAGTGCTTAGAGGTTTCAAGAGATTTTCAGGGAGTACGATTAGAGCAGTTGCTAGAGGATAGCCTATGCCAAATTGTAGTTGTTATGGCTGATGATCAGGTGGTCCTTCATGCATATGGCCTGGGCAGAATGATCTAAGCCCCAGTCCAACAGTCACCTTGAGGATAAGAGAATTAGCTTGCTCCAACAGTGTGGAGTTTCCAGTGAGGTGTGGAGAAGGCGGCAAACCTGTGACCGTACTAATTTGACTATGGAACTAACTCTATTTTGACATGCATTGTTTAAAAATCAATGTGTGAAATTGCAGACATTATCATTAAGTATCAGAGAATGAGCAGAGCCATTTAGCTGGTAAAATTACTTGCAGGTATGGACTGTTCTTCGCCTAATACACCCCAAGGACTTTTATTTCAGTTCTTATCAGTGCTGCATTCTACTTAACCTCGGATACAGCTACGTGAATCTGTATTTTTGAAATGTTTAATCTGGGGACAATTACTTTATTAGCAATTCTTTATCTCCATACAGATCCCTGGTTTCAAGTGCTAGAGCTATTGCCTGAGCCTATAAGCAGATGACCTCTCCACCTGCATTTAAGATTCATTCACAGAAAATTTGCTGATCCATTCGATTTTCTCACCAGACATATCTGATAATTTTCACAAGAATACTGCTGAATTTTTAAAATTATATTTAATATGTTCTACTCAAACATTGAACCTGAGCCAAAGCCAAAAAATGCAGCACAATTGCCTCTACATTTTGTAGCATTTATCTTTCTTCTTCTCCGGGAACTTAGGTAGCATATTGCCAGTGTAGAAAGCGACTCAGTTTAGGCTCCTTGTGATGTATGCATGTGAGTTTAGTTCTCAAGCAGTCATAAATCTTAATAAAGTCTTTCTCCCAGATACTAATAGGAAAACAAAACTAGGGTATGATTCTTTGGAAAATTAGTTGAAACAAAGGAACTGCACAAGGTAAGACTGCCTGAAACAGAAATACTGGTTTTAAGATTTAGCTTTCTTTTCTTGGTAGATCCCCTAGCAACTGAAATAGCACTTCCCAATGTGGAAGCAATGCTGAGATGTTTGCCTTTTGTTTATGGGAGCTTCTTCACACAGAATGAATCAGTGAGGCAAGGAAGAGCCAGAAGAGGATTGGAGATGCGTGGGCATCAGCCCATCAATCAGAAAAGGGCAGTTTATGGAGCTTAAGGATAATGATGAAGTCAAAGTAGTTTCCCTTTCCTCAGTCATGCCTGTCCTCACCTCTTGTCAGTGAAGCCTCATTACTATTCCACAGCAAAACTCAATGCTCAACGGGAGCAAAAGGGCAATGGCAGGAAATGCCACTAACAGCCTGCTCCCATGCTTTTCACTCCTTGCCATAAAGCATATCGTGCTGGAGCATACAGCACTACTTAGCTAATGGAGAAACGTCAAATAAACCTGACTGCAATGGGAATAAGCCAACTAAGTTTAAATAAAACAGCACAAGCAAGATGAAGTGTTTTCCAATTGCATATGAAGGCACAGGAAAATCTACCTACTGCAGCTCTTCAGGTCAATTATCAACTGAAAACCAGACACTGGAACGATAAACTCACAGAACTCTGTTGCCATCCATTGTTTCCACCAGCAGAACTCTTTTTAAGATGTTTTTAGAGTTTAGGATCTTATGTTGGTTTTTTTTCCTTACCAAACAAGTGGGTTTTTCTCTTTTGCGAGGGTTAAACTTCTCTGTGATGGGTCACTTACTTGTCCTGTCAGAGTTAGTAAACAAATAATAAACTGTGTGGGTCAGAAATTGCTGGTCCTGACTTTCATAGCAAATTGTCCTGGTACCATCCCTTCAGGAAACTTAACATACCTCCTGTGAACAGCGTCCAGCTATCATTGCTGAGCATAACACTTCATCTTTTTCTTACTGTCAGGTCCCTGAAGGTGTGAATTATTCTCAGCCCACAGGGGCAGCCAGTCCCTAGCACAGACTGAAATCCAGCATTTGGGATAGCGAGCGCAGCTTCTGATTGCCCAGTGAGAGACCAGTCCCTGTTTGAGGCTGAAACTTCAGCAACGGCTGTATGTACTTGCAGCTTCCACTGAGCGGCACCTCGTGACAGAAAGCCAAGTCTCCCAGAGCTACAGCTTCTTCGGAGGACTCTGTAAGAACTGCAGATGACCCGGCTGGCATCTGCAGAGCCAAGTGGAAACAGCAGTCCAGACACCCGTGGCTGAAGCAAAACGTGTGGTAGAAACAGGACCTGACAGCTTGGGTGCTATTTCTAGGCAACTGTCAAATCCACAGCAGGATTTCAACTCATCAAGAAACAACTAATTTGAGATACAAAAAGATCCTCTGAGCATCTTAAGCTGTGTCATTTTGGACTAAACAGTCACTGCTTAAAATGTACGAACTGCCCTGGGAGCAAGGACTGCACCCCATTACTCTTCCCTCCCCTAAGTGTCCTGAGAACTCGGCATCACTGCTCAGCAAGGGCTTAACCCTTCCCTGAAAAGCTTTATGGTGGGCTGGGGAGCAGCCGAGCAGCTGGGAAACAGGAAACTGAGTCTCCTGCCTTCTAGAGAACAATGTGCTGCATTTTGTTAGGGCTTTGGGTCTGGGGGCATATGCTAGACGTTACCTGAGAGAGTCTAAAAGGCTGAGCCCCTTTCAAAATAAAGTGAAGGGCTGGTTAGTTGTAGATCGTACGAGAAAGCTCTCGGATGCAATAGGTTCTGCGCAGTGCTGGATGATGCAAGTGGGGCAATCGAGGCCATGCACAGAAGTATAACTCAAGGCACTTAGGATTTTTTTTTAAGTGAACCCTCCCAAAGGCGCCATGTAGTGCTCCGATCCATGAAAATCAAGATGAGCAGAGGCAACGTTACATTCCTCGAACAATACATGCTAATTACTTCAATTCTTGTCTTCAGACTGAGGCCTGGAGAG